GATTTTTTAATGTATCTTGTAAATATTATTATAGATATCTTTAAGCGTTTAGAAAAAAATTATTATCAACTAAATGAATATATATACAATATTTACAGATATCACGTACTAAAAGCGTAAAAAATTATTTTTTTTAAATTAATCCTTAAAGTTCATCATAATTTTTTAGTTCTATTACACACGATAAGTCGTTCATTTCTCATAATATATATTTTCACCACTTTTACAAGAATACAAAAAGTATTAAGTAACTCTTACATGTATTATAACTTTAACATCTCTAGAAAGTATTTATAAAGTTGTGTACTTTAAAAAAAGAAACGAATAGAAGCTGTTATTTAATTAATAAGTTCTCCTAGTATTCCAAAGAAGAGAAATGCGCAGAGCAATGAATAATTCAATCATGCTTACTGAGAATTAATATCACTTCGCAGGGATGTTCCCAGTAAACTATGACAAGTGCAACTGGAGGATGTTGTCGCAATATCTGCAAGGACCAAATCGTGAGACGATACCTCCGTTAACCAGAGCAAAACTTCTACACGATGCCTGGAACTTGGCTTACGCGGGCGAATTGTGCTTCGGAACTGCGATGAATATGACCCTCTTCCTCAAGAAAGAAAAGAGCCACGTGGTTTGGGAGCCAGTATTCACAATGATTAATCATATTGGTCGGCGCATCGAGGGCTTGGATGTATATTTGAAATTTGAAGTGAGTAAATGTTGCTTTTTTGGTCGATTCATTAAAGTTATTAATATTCAAAACGATTATAAATGACAAATTAAATAGGTGTAACTAATATTCAATATTATTTAGAGTTAAATATAAATTTTTTTATTGTGATTATAAACTATAGTTAAATTTAAATTATAATAATTGTAATCTTTTTTTTTCAGCGTAAAATACATCATTTTATATAGACAGGTTTCGACTTCAATTTGTTCTTTAATTTTTTAGCATCAAATTATATTTTAATTAATAATAAAATAAACTTTAATTTCAGGCGTATATTCGAAGTTTATTGAAGCCTCTCTACTTGGAACTTGGTGAAAATCCTCAGCCTGATGAACCTTCCTGGAAAACTCACATGCGTGGTCTTATGCAGAACTTCCTTTGTCGTGCTGGATACGAACCTTGCGTTATGGAAGCCAGAAATCAATTCAAAAAATGGTTAACCGATGAAGAGCCGGACAAAGGAAATCCGTCAGTACCCGAAATAAGAACAAACCTTTTATATTAATTTATTTAAGAAGTTCATATTTTATGCATATAAAATGAAAAAAGAGTTTAGTCATAGCTACAAACGTTTAATAAAATAAATTAAATATTTAGTTAATAAAACTAAATACATAATTTTACTTTTACAAATAATTAATAAATATTACTAAACGTATTATTAACTAATATATTTGTAAATAGGTAAGGTATATTGGTAGTTACCATCAAACTCTTTTTTCAGTGTTTACTCATAATTGTTTCGATTCAAATATAGAAGTGAAATATTGGTATTAAGTGAAATATATTAGTCATGTTCAGCAGACTCAACTACATATGTTGCGAAGCGGATATAAACGCTTACTGGATATATGTATATGATCTAAAAGAATATTAAATATTTGTAACCCACATAAAGGGGACACATACCCCTTTTGAATATTCATAAAAAAATAAACACTTGAAATTGCGAATTCGCATTAGACGTCTTTAATGTTTTATATTTTCTAAAAATTAAAGTCAAAATTAAAATAAAACTTATGTTTTTCAATGTTCTAACCAATCGATTGATAATATTTAATTTTGAAAAAACGAAAATTGTTTATTCAAAACTTCATGTTAAGCAAAACCAATTTTGGTCAAATAGTTGCCACAAGTTAAAAATTTTGACTGGTGCGAATTTGCATTCAATCATAGCTTAATTGTTACTTACGCGTTAATCAATCTAATTACACGTTTATAGGTAATAACCAAACATTATTGAACTGGCGAGAATTATGTTTTATAGGGTTGCCAATAAATTCCTTTGCCCCGTATTCAAATGGGGCACCGACGAGGAATGGGAGTTCGGATTGCAGCGCGTCATAAATTTTCCGAAGACCAGCCTAGCTAGAAAACAGAACGAGCGCACTTACTTATTGAAGACTCTTGCTGGATGTCCGAAAGATGCAAACAAGATCGAAAGGTCAGTGTATTCACAAAATTTACAGCTTATTGAATAAATCCTATTTCTTATAACACACAGTCAACAATTAAAATATTTAATCTTCTTAAAACTCCCAAAGATTTTTGCACGTAGTTCCTAACAAACTTATCAGTTTCCCCAGTTTGAATAAAATATGTAGATCAGTTAAAAGTTCGAAATGAGTGCTGTTTGAATAAAAAATTAAAGTTGTACTCGTTGGTACAAGTTTAATTTCTTTAACCATATATACTCTTCATATGTGTGTTCATTCCTTGTCAATTTTGTATTATTATATCCATAATTTCTACCAATTATACATACAATAGATTAACTTAAATCGGTTTAACTTACTTTTTATTTTGTTCTAGTTTTAAGAATTCTAGGACCGTATTAGAACATAAAAGTTATAATAATATCGTAAAGACATCATTGTCTAGCTTATTTATCATTTATAAGTTCATTTTTAAGTATCAAATAACGTCATGATGACATCCTATATGATTATTATGACTTAATGATTTTACGTTTTACTTAGGCATTTCTTTTTCTCGAGAAATTAATGAATAAATATCAATGATAAATAAATATTTATCACGTCGTTTTTGTATCCTCCGCATCAGGTTGCTGCAAGTAGCTGTGTTGGACCAAAACGAGAATTTCACCGACCCGGACATTCACCTTATCTTCAGTATGTTGACCGGCAGCGCGACCGGCTATAAAACTCTATTTAACTTCTTACTTGATCACTGGTACACCGTAAAAGAGCAATTCGAGAACAAAACCTTCCTCTGGGATGGCATTGTCAATTTTGCTACATCGTCATTCAACACACAAGAGGGTTACGATAAAGTGAGCAAGCTCTATATGGATCACCAGGACGAATTCGAATCAGCGGACGCCATCATCAAGAAGGCGCTTAAGATCATTAATCAGGAGACTAAATGGAACGAGGAGAACGTGCCTGTAATCGATGAATGGCTCATGAAGAACCTATCTAAGGAAGATCTGGAAGCGATTGCGGCTTCAACATCCCCGTCTTCTATTCTTTCCACAACAAACGTACCGACAACGATCAAACAGTTAGACACGGAAATCCGATTCCACGGATGAATAAGTGGACTCGATTCCGACATTATGGCATTCCCGATTCATAGAGTATAATCTATTTTCTCAGTTGCTTCAAAGTATCCAATTTCTTTTCATAATTATAGTGATATGTTTGCTTGCTTGACAAATATAGGTAGCGTCGCACAATAATTTCACCCCCTTATATACATATAATTTTTATTAAAACGTGTTATAGCAATAATCCTTAAACCAAACATACTGCAAGGATTTAGAAAAATTGAATGATTGGAAGACGTGAGTCGTGACAGCGTGATTAAAATGCGACGAATGTAACAATCTCTTCTTTCCGCTTTCTATACTTCTATATATAGTATATATACAGTAATTTAAAAATGTCGATTGCGAAAAAATAATATTTTATACATATATTTAAATTTTTATTTTTGTAAAACAAATAAAAATTAATATCGCTCTCGTGACACATTTATTCTCCAGATGGATGAAGTGTTTCTCAGGAAAAAGTATATAAAAATCGCTCGTAAATTAAGACATAATTTAAGTTAAGATTTAATGTAAAGTTAATCCCTCTCGATGAATAAAATTAATATTATATAATGTTAGGGCTTTGTCAACGTACAATATCTTATTTATTTAATCAACAATTATGTATATTTAATATATTAGGAAAAACATTCTGTAGTTATGAATTTGCATAAATCTATAATAATGAATACAGTTTATACATATAAATATTTAGTATCACATTTCTATAATTTGGAAACAAAAATATACCTATAGAAAAATACAAGATTTATATTTTACAATTATACAAAGAAGAAACTTATTCATATTGAATTCAATATCACATTAGAATGATTAAATCTATGTGTTTCATTGATGTTATTATTGATGATATTAATTTATATTTTGCACAGTTCTCAATTTAAATATAATTATGGTATACAATATTAAGGTTGATCACAAAGGAATTATGCATACAAAAATTATACCTATAGTTTCATTTGATTTATGAATCAACTATATTATTTATGCATCCATATTTTCAACCTTTAGTTTGTCATCTCGTGTGACATAAAGCAATAGAATTGTAAATCCGATCTAAAGAATAATGTATTTAAAATAATTTTACAAAATTATTCAGTAAAATTAGATTATATCCAAAACGTAATTTGAAAACTTTTATACTTTCAATTAAAAAAAAATCTCGCAGAGAATTGAATGGCGTATAGCTAGGATTTTGTTTAGAGAGGACAGCAATTAGAATTAAGATCTTTGTTATTTAAATATTAGTTTCCAATTAAAAAAAAAGAATAAAGTAAATTATTAAAATTTTATATTTATAACAAAATAAAAAAAACTTATATTTATAACACAGTAATGGATTTTCAAATAATCTTTTTAAAATCTCTTTTCCATTTCTAATTTTTTTTTTCTTCAAATTGATTTTTTGCGAATACTCATGAATTTTGAAATTATGTTATTGTACTGTAAATTTGTAATTATTTTTATTCTAGAAGATTTAGGCCTCACCTGTCCCTCCCTTGGTTACGCCCATGAATTGTGCAATACAATATAAAAAAATAATCTCTGCAAGATTATTCCCAATCAGTTGATTAATTAATTTTGTTTTATATACGTTGAAATAAAAAATTTCATGTATTTTAAGAAACTGTAGATTAATATTAATGGCTAATATTAATGGTTAATTTTAATCACTGTAAAAAGGAACATTTATTTAGAAAAAATGAAAGATTCTACTTTGTGTTTTTTAGCAGTGATACTACAGTTATCTTGATTCCGCATTTCAGGCGATCTAAAAATCGATAAAATGAAAATTAATGTAGCTGTATTAACTTAATAAAATAAGATTAATATTTCATTTAATTATACGAGAAAATGTCTAAAATGTAATTACGATCGAATTAATCAGAAAAAAGAAATAATCAAGTATTGAATTTACAAACTCGTATCACTTATAGACCTTTTACTATTCTTAAATTTCAACTTTGCAGTCTTTATATCTGTCTGATTTTCAACTTTCGATTTCAGGTTGCTATCTTGTTTAGGAAAATTTAAAGCAGGCAAATTAATCAAAGTTTTATCCTCTTTGGTACTATTCATCAATGCAATTAGCAAGTTCGATATCTCCTCCCTTTTCCTCATTGTAACAGCTTTATCAAACCATTTTCTCAAGGTTTGGATTGGAAAAGTATAATCTTTAATAGGATCCTGAAAAAAGAAATAAACTCAATCACATTGATAATATGTAATCAATCATTTAAAAAGTAAATGAAAAAATAAAGTTATTTTAATATATTTACCTTGAAAAAATTTTCCACATATTGTAATACATACAATCCGCAATCAGCTAAATTGTATTGCTGGGGTACTTTCAGACACGCTCCCTCAATAGTATCTTCTGAGAAAATTTTTGTTACACCAAGTTTGGCAACATGTTCGCAACTTAAATAATCTCTTAACGTAGAAATTACCCGTGTTCTACTCTCACCACTAAGCGAATCAAATATTAGTATACAAGGTCTATAAATTATTGAAATATATTAAAACTCAGTATACTGTATATATACAGATTGCACCAAATATGCTATTTACTTCTTGATGATTTCCTTCTGCTTCTCAAGTTTAATTTCAGTTTTATTTTCTTTCGGTTGATTAATCTTGATCTATAAATAAAATATTGCATTGTATTCAATTGTTTAAAATCTACTTTAGACCATCTATAATTCGGCATAAAATTCTATTTATAATTTTACGTGTTGTATAACAACGAAAAACATTTAAAGAAGTAAAATATACACACACGCACACGCACATATATATCATTGATAAATAGTTTCGATATGTGTATTTTACTTCTTCAAATGTTTTCTATGTATGCTTTCCTTTTAGAGGGCACACTCGACACAAACGTCGTTCTATCTTTATCATTCGTTGAATGTTAAGAAGGATAGAACAACGTTTGTGTCGAGAGTGCCCTCTAAAAGGAAAGCATACTATGTTTACACGATATGCAATATTATAAATAAAATGTCCCAAATTTAGTCGTGAATTATAAATCATCTAAAATGGGCTTTAGAAAGGAAGACAATAAAATTTTCTCTACCTTTCCGTCTGTTTCTATTTTTATTTCATCATTGTTTTTTGCTTTGTTTTTTTTAGATCCATTATCTATTATCGTAATTGGTACAGGAGAAATTGTTGTAAAATCATTTGTAACAGTTTTTGTTCTTAACTCTGTTGTTTTTTTGATCTTTTGCACAGTCTTATTATTATCGTTTCCACTAGTTTTCACAGTAGAAACTTCCTCAACTAATCCAGGAAAACAAACAATAGCCAAGAACCAATGTGCGCTATAATATTATATTGACTCGTTGTTATAAGCTATAAATTTAATATGAGATAAATTACAATATAAAACTTAAATATTTTTTCTTTTTCCCTTTTTTTACGTGCAATTGAACTCTTCATATATACAATAGATCTTTATCTGGTGTCCTAATAATGATTATAATTTTTAAGTAAGAATGTACCAGGAAGTATACTGGAATTTTATTATATACTGGCATTATTTTATAATTATATGTATATAATATATATACTCGGCCTCTTTTTCTATCCAGTCGGATAACTGAATATCATTAGTAATATGTCCGACTGAAATGTATTTTGAGTTAAACTTTTTGCACGGTTGATCTTTCAACTTTTTTTACGTTAGAAAGATAAAGAAAATTATTATCGCTATTTTCCCTTGCTTTTCTTTTTTCTTTTTTATATAAAATGAAGAAATTTAGAAAATATCTAGTATCTAGTCGGATAATTGCTCTACCGAATATCAGATATCTGTTTATTCCAAATATCCGATATCCAGCAATTTTATAATCCAATACATTTCTATATTTAAGTTTTTAAGACTGTTTTGAATGAACTCAGTATGAAGGTATACCAAATATAAAGCTTATATTAACTTAATTTAATATTAAACTTAAAGAATTACTTACTGTTTGTTTATAGGAATTATAATAAAATCTTTCTCAAATATATTCACGTCTTTCGTCCACGTCCGTACTCCTGCGTGCCGCTTGGTAGAAAGTGACATTGACACGGTATTTAGAGCATCTTGGACATGTGGATTAGTTAAACGTTTGTAAAAAAATGAACTGAACACGTGAGTTCTATGTTGATCAAATTTTGATAATACTTCTAAGGTCAAATACTTTAAATAAAAATCTATAATTACATCGTTCAAGAAACTGTCTTCTGCGAGACATAAATAATGTTCAGTATTAATAGTTATTCCTCCTTTTGCAGGAGGTGGAGGATATATAGTTATTCTACAAAAAAAAAGTTTTAATATAACAAACATTCAACAATTACATTTATCACAAATTTATAATAATGCGCACAGAATTGAAATAATATTAAGTTAAATTGAGATTGTAAAATTTTGTCCGATATATCAAGTTATTAAATATTGAAAGATAAAAATTTATTATTAAATAAGATTCTCACGTTTGTATCTTATCTTTTTTTACATCAATATCATTTGCTAAATCTTGACTCGGTGTTTCTTCTTCCTGTATAATAATAGACGGCTGTAATAAATTCTGTAAAAAGGTATAAAAATATATATACTTGTATACTTGTTATTAAAAATACATGTTACATTATCAGGAGTGTCTCCAGCCATGTTTAAAAACTGAAAGACACTACAAGTATAATTATAATATAATGAAATAAAATATAATTTAAGCAAATACATACATCCTTTGATGATATCTGTTGAAGTAAATCATTAGCTTTTTGTAAAGATAATTCGACTATTTTATTTCCCCGTGAAAATAAACTTATCAGTATTGCCTTTGAATGCTCTGGAAACTTATTTGGTAATAATGTAATACGTCTATGCATGATGTCTATATAAATAATAAAGATATAAAGTATATTAATAATTCAAATTTGCTATTAAGAAAATCCTAAAGCCATCTGTGTATTATCAACTAAACCATATAATTTTTATATAACAATGATTTCTCCCTTCTTTCACAAATTTGAAAATTTTTTTCCAAGATTAAAATATAAGCATTAATACATACCTGTGAGGTGGATTTTTATACAAAGAGCAACAAAAATTCCAAAACTGAGATCGTTACACATTTCTTCGTTAAATTTAGTGCTTTAAAGCTGTTACATCACGACATTTGTTTTATATAAAAACTGTACAGAGTATATACTTACACAATAGTCTACTGACTAGTAATTTGCAGAAAGAAACAACATGGAGATCTTAGAATTAGATTCAGATGTCTAATTAAAACATTGTTATATGAAAATGTATGTGCATGTACACATGAGATGTAATATATTAGTATATAGTAGTATGTAGTATGTATCAATGCAAATCGCCTGTATGTAAATCCTACTTGTATTATATAATTGATTGGCATTAGAATCTTCTTAAAAAAGAACTTTTGTACATTTTTTTATACATAAATGATTATATAAAAAATTTTTTAATTATTTTTTTAAATATATTATTAAAAAATAATTATTACTAAATATTATAGAATTAATTAAATTTAAAATATATAAAATTCATATATATCATATAAATACTTTTTCCAATAGGATCATAATATGGTCCTTTTAGATCTTGCATTCCTAATGATTCACGTATCATGGTCCCTGTTTTTTTAGACATATAGAAAAACATTGCTGGCATTTTCTTTCCAAAATGAACCAAAACCTTAATTATATTTTCATATTTCACATCCAAAGTAATAAAAGTAGAATCTGTAAAATATCCAAATATATTTCGAAGAGTTTATAAATTTTTCTACCTACAAACATTTTAATTATAGAGATGAGATTAATCTACCATTTTTTAATGAAGGTACGTGAAATCTTACACCTTTACGGCAAATCACTATTTTTTCCTGAGGAATATATTTATAAGAACCTATTCTGACCATTTGACATTTTAGAGTAATTTGTGGTAATAGTCCAGTATCTATTAGAAAATTAGGATCTTCATACATTTTTCTAAAACCCAATAAAATTTCAATATATATATTGCATCAATTGCATCTCAATAAACACACAGTAGCATAATACACATTAATGTTATACTCAACGATATAACTGTTAAAAACAACATTTCTTATATTGTATTTGGTAATTATTTAGAACAGCTTCTTCACCTCTGATTTCAATGAAATTGAGATCATTCGATGCGTTTTTACACAAAATGAAATAATCTGGCCAAAAACAGTGAGGAAATGCCGTACAAAGCAAGATATTAATTGTAGAAGTAATTTACTATTACTATAGAGGTTAAGAAACCCAACCACCAACTGATCACATGTAATCAAACTGCGCATCTTTTGTTAGTACATGTTCTGTGCTGCGCATGCGCTGTGCAACTTAGCCATTTGAATCGGCACACACACACACACAACCACATATGCCACACGTACAGTATTATATACATACTGGGTGAATGTGATGCTTGTCCTCTACCAGAGAGAAACCTGAGAGAGGACATAACGACCTAAAACCTGTAACCACAAAATACTGCC